AAATAAAATTCCAATCTTTGTTTTATGTTTTTACATATGGAATAGGGAGTGGACTCGGCACCTAACAACACCATGTTGTTGTTGTTGTGTGCCGTCGAGTCATCCCTGACTCATAGCAACCCCTCCTTGGGTTTCCGAGGCAGTATCACTACGGAAGTAGGATTGCCCAGCCTTCCTTCCGAGGAGTGGCTGGTGGGTTTGAACCGCCAGCCTTCTGGTTAGCAGTCAAGTGCCTTAGCCACTATGCTACCAGAGCTCCTAACAACACCATAGGAAAAAAGAATCAGAACAGATACAAGAAAGCAATTCATCTTTTTTTTGATCACAACAGATACAAGAAAGCAATTCATCTTTTTTTGATCACTGATGCCACCTGGTGGCTGATTTATGGCAGTGGTTTTGTGTAGGGGCACAGAAAGTGAGGGACAACAATTAAAATAACACAAGTTCTTCTATATAATATAAATTCAGATGAAAGAATTTTTATTTTCCTCCTGCTGAGTTACACTCAGCATGGAAAATACAAAATCCACAATTAACTCCAAACCTGATCCTCTTCCAATGATTCCTATCTCATTGCCATGCTCAGCACCCTCTCCTACACCCCTCTCTATGCAGTCCATCCATCATCACTTTTCATTGATTTGTGCCTCCTAAATATCTCTCCACATCTTTGATCTCCACTCCCATTTTTCTAATCTCAATTACCATGATCTCTCATCTACAATGCAACGCAATGCAACACTGCCGGGGAGTTAGATCCAACTTACAGTGATCCCTCCTTGGGTTTCCAAGGAGGAATCACTGCGGAAGTAGATTGCCCAACCTTCCTTCCAAGGAGTGGCTGCTGGGTTTGAACCGCCAGATTTCTGATTAGCAGTCAAGTGTTTTAGGCACTACGCCACCAGAGCTCCCGACTAGTTGCACTTATATCCCACTAAGTAAATTCTATGTATTGTTTTAAGTACTTTAGTTACATTAACTCATTTAATCCTCACACTAATCCTAAGAGATGTATACTAGATGAGAAGACTGAGAGGGCACAATAAAGCAATTTGGTCAAGGTTCCATAGCTAGCAAGAGCAGAGCCAGGGTTAATCCTAGGCAATCTGGCTCCAGATTTTGTTCTCTTAAAGATGACACTACTGCCTTTTGACCACTACCTTGTGCCATAGCCCCCCAAATGGTCTACTCATGCCCCTTTTGGCTCTCCTCTAATCCATTCTCCAGAGAGGAATCAGTGAGCTTCCCGAAATATAAATCTAATCATGCCACCTCTTTTAATGACTTCCACTGTTTTTAGGACTCGGATGAATTCTTTAAAATCGTGGCTTACAATGTTTTACATTGTATCCCTTTCTTGTATTTCTCAATCCACCGCATTCTATACTTCCTCTAGCTCTCTCCACTTAGTCCCACTGAGTTTCCACTGCCCTAGTCCTTTTCCCACCACTGAACCTTTGTCTGTGTTGTTTCCTCTGCTTAGAGCATTGTTCCCTTTTCTCTTCACATCGTTAAGGCATACTCAGCCCTCAGATCTCAGCTCAAGTATCACCCACCTCTTCAGGAGGGAGCTTAGTTTATTGATTTGGGAATTTTCGTCTTTTCTAATCCAAGCATTTAGTGCTATAAAATTCCCCAGAATCAATGTTTTAGCTACATCCAAGAAATTAAGACAAGTTGTATTCTCAATTTTTGTTCCCTTTAAAATATTTTCTAATTTCCCTTGAAACTTCTTTAACTCATGGATTAAATTATTTAGGTGTCTTGCTTAATTTCCAAGTATTTGGAGATTTCCAGTTATCCAGTTGTTGATTTCTAATTTAATTCCATATGAGCAGAGACATACATGCATTATTTCTATTCTTTTCAATTTGTTGAGGTTTATCTTATATCTCAGGATATGGTCTATCTAGGTGAATATGCTATGTGTGCTGGACAAGATGTATTTTGCTATCTTGAGGTGAACTGTTGTATAAATGCCAATTCGATCCTCTTTGTTCATAATGTTATTCAGCTCTTTCATGTCCTTACTAACTTTTTCTTTACCTGTCTATCATTTAATGAGAGAAAAGTGTTGAAGTCTCCAAGTACAATTGTGGCTTTGCCTATACGTGATGTTAGGTGTGTACACATTTAGTATTGCTGTCTTCTTGCTGAATTGTTCTTTTTATCATTATGTAATGTCCCTCTTTATCCCTGGTAATTTTCTTTGTTCCAAAGTCTTTTTTGTCTGATATTAACTAAGGCTCCAGTTTTCTTCCAAATAGTATTTTGTAAGGTACACCTTACTCCATCCTTATACTTTTAACCTACCTATATTACATTTAAGGGTGTTTCTTGTTCATGTAGTTGTGCTTCTCTCACTGTGGTTCTAATTTTCATTTCACTTATGACTTACTATATTGAGTATCTTTTTATGTGCCTATTGGTTTTTTATATATTTTCATTTTTGAAGTGCCTATTCAAATCTTTTCTCACTTAAAAAAATGGAGTTAATCTATCTTTTTCTTTTTTGGATATCCTTCAGTTGTTCCTGATCTCAGGGAAAAGTGTTTAATATTTCATCAGTAAGTATGATATTGGCTTTAGGTTCTTCTTGTTGCCCTTTATCTACATGAAGATTTTCTCTTCTATTCCCAGTTTGTTGAGAATTTTTTAAAAATCACAAATGAGTGCTGAAATCTGTCAAATGCTTTTTCTACATCTATTGAGATAATCACATGGTTTTTCTTCTTTATTCTGCTTACACAGTGAATTACAATGATTGATTTTCAAATGTTAAATCAACTTGCACTCCCTGAATAAACCTCAATTGGTCATGATATATCATCCTTCATATATATGGCTAATTCAATTTGTTAATATTTTGTTTAGGATTTTAGTTTTGATATTCATGAGGGACACTGGTCTTCTAGTTTTTCTTTATTGTCATGTCTTATCAGATTTTGGTATCATGTTTTCTTGTCCTTTTGAACTAAATTAGGAAACATTATCTCCTTTTCTACTTTTTGGAAGATTGCTATTGTTTCTTCCTTAAGTATCTGAAAGTATACACCAGTGAATCCATTTGGGTCCAAAGTTTTCTTTGTATGAGACTTTACAGTTTTAACTTATATAACAGAGATTATTCAAATTTTCTATCTTGCTCAGTTTCAGTTTATTATGTTCTTCAAAGATTTTATAGATTTCACTGAAGTTTCAAATTTACTGGTATAAAGTAATGAAAGTTTATAATATCCCCTTACTTAATATCTGCAGATTCTGCAGTGATATCTTCATTTTTATGTCAATACTGATAATTTGTGTTTTCTTTCTTTTTCCCTTTTTTAAGTTTATTGATAAGTCTTACTAGGCATCTCTCAAATTTATTAATATTCCCAAAGAATCAACTTTTGCCTTTATTGATTTTCATTTTTGTTAATTTATTTTCTATTTGAATAAATTCTACTCTTATTTTTTTATTATACCTTTTTTCAATTTTCTTTAGGCTTCTTTTTCTGCCTTCTTGAATGAGTTGGTAACTGATTTTAAACTTTTCTTCTTTTCTAATATATGTATTTAAAACTATAAAATTTGCAACTAAGCATTGTTCAAACTGTATCTCACAAGCAAATTAATTTTTCAAGAGTTTTCAAATGTTTTCCTTGGTGCTTGGTAAAAAATAAATATTCCCTTGGGAACAGGGAGGGATAGAATGGAAAGGGACATAAGGAAACTTTCTAGGTGAAGGTAATGAATGCTCCATATCTTGATTGGTGTACTGGTTACACAGTTGTATACATTTGTCAAAAATGCGATACTCTGTACACTTAAGACCTGAGCTGTATTAAAAAAAACCTAGAAACTAGGCATCAATACCTTTGTACAATGAAACCTCTGTGTAGGTTCACAGAAGTTAACTGACTTTTCCAGTATCACAGACTTAGCAACTGACAGAACCAGGGGTTAAACCTAGGCTATCAAAACCAGTGTCGTTTAAACTCTACCATAAATTATTTCACATATTTCATACATATACACACACACATATATATATATATACCAAAAAAACCAAACCCACTGTCATAGAGTCATATCTGACTCATAGTGACCCCTTCTTGGGTTTCTGAGGTTGTATCACTAGGGAAGTAGATTGCCCA